TAGAAGATCAGTGCCGACCGAGAAAAAAAAAGAAAGGATGATAATGAAGCCGATTTATCTAGAATTGGGGTACAACAATGGAAAATAGAAGCACAAGATCGTAGAGGATAGAGGGCGATAGTGGATGCGGCGAAGACTCACCCCGAGTTGTAAAGCCAGTGAAGAAGAAGAATTGTTTTTAAGTTAACGTCAACTTTTTTGACAATTAACCAGAGGCGAATATTTAGAAATAGTATGCATTACTGTCAGGAAGTAGATGGAACAATATTTGAACACTTACTAAATAAGAACTGGTAGTTAAATATTTATTAATTTTATTTATAAAATTTTAGTATTTATTTAATTTATTCATCAAAATGAGCTTAAACTCAAACAAAATTATTATGACTAAATAGGTATTTTCAATGCCTTTCAAACGAGGTATCACTTGCCATAAGGTCCGATTTAAAATTATCTGTCACAGTGGCGATGTAACGTCATCTATCACTATTACGTCACCTGTTATGAATAATTGAGAAGCCTAAGTCTGTTTATTACCTCCCTTCAAATTTCACTATTACAACAATAACAGTTCAGAAGATACGAGGGGAACGGACTTTTGACTAGCACTGTATAACTAGAGTTACAACAAACTGGATTTTCACGACACAAAATTAGAAGCACTGGAGACAAATGAAGGAGATTTATGCTCAACAGTTGACACTGCAGGCTCTGATCATAATGAATTTCGTTTTTTTATAATAGAATTCCAAGATAAGAAGAGGAATCAGGCAATCTCAAAGTTATAATAACACGACGTCACGTCGCGTCGGCCAAAAAATTGTTGAAATAGTATCATATTTCCACTGAAATATTTTCGTGTGTACTGTCTAAGACAACAAATAATACACGATTAGTTTTTGTGTCAGTGATTTTATTATCAAAGAATGTTCGATCGCGTATTTTATCAAAAATCCAAGTGTGCTTGAACTTGTTTCAAGGAAACACCTGATAACGTGCTTGTAGAGTCATAAGTGTTGACGAACATATTTCTGAAAACTTTCAAACCACGTCTGTTTTACCTAACACAAACGATTAACGACCAGAATTAATAAATATTTATAACGCTTTTTGCTATAAATCGATTAACGTAGAAATTGAAAAAGTATATAGTACATTTCGAAATTATTGATAGGACAAATCTTATTGCACGTGACGTAAAACCCAATATAAATAACATCATAAAACGGAGATTGGTGACGAAGTTCTTATAAAACTTTCTAGTTATTTTCAGAATATCCTGTTTATCTGTTGTTGCCTTTCTGTGTATATAGCTGTTTTACTTCGTGTGAGTTCTCTTTTCATTATCTTTAAACCTTTGTTCTCTTCTACCGTTTGAATAATTACATTTGTATTATATCTTCTGAGATCTTTTCTAATTTCTGCTAAAATTCTTATATTTAATTTTCTATATTCTTCTTTGTTTCCCTTTTCTTTCTTTCTCGCTTAGTTGTTGCCGTATTTACATTAGAGCTTTTTTATCTTTGCTAATATTTTCTATTTTTTACAAAATTTGAGTTGTGCGTTTTTAAACGAGTCTGTTTATTTATTATGATCGTCAATACTGAGATTTGGTATTATTACTCTGTAAAGTTTCGACTATATATTTTATGTGTGCTTCTGGCTGGTTTGGTGGATTCCAAACTATGCGTTCGCAACTGTTGCTCTTTCATCATTGCTCTTTCTTTTTTTAGGATTGTCGTTACTCTGGCTCTTACTGGTCTGTCATCGACTCCTACTGATATTTTATTGAGTACAGTTACGTACATCTTGAACTATTTGTTTTTTTGTCTGTTATATAATCATATTCAGATATGATCAAAATTCAGATGCAGAATTCAGAGAAACAGGAGGGAAAGACAGGAACAAAGAACAGAACAGCTAGATATACAAATATTGAAACAACAAGATGTCAAACAGAACTATGAGACAGAATTTACACAAACACTGACAGACACAGGCAGTCTATGCACCGAAGAACATTGGGAAAAAATCTAAACTATAGTCATTGATGCAGCAAGAAAAATCATAGGCAAGAAAAAGAAAAATACAAAAAGGAAATGGTTCAATGACGAATATAATAAGGTCATGCAGAAAAGAAATGAAGAACACAAGAAATATATGGAAAGAAGAACCAGAGAAAGAAGGGCCAGTTACCAAGATGCAAGAGGGAGGGCCGATAAAATATGCCGAACAGAGAAAAGAAAATACAAAAACGGCAATATACAGAAAATGGAAGAAAATCTTCAAAGCAACAATATAAGACAGGCGTAAAGATATTTACGCAATTTAAGAAAAGGATACAAACCCCGAACAAATAACCCCAGGCAAATAACCAGTGATCCAAAAGAAATAAAAATCAGTCTGTAAAACCTATTTCCAAACTCTTTTAGGGATACAAGAAAATGAAGAGAATATGGACATGCATCACAATGAGGGAGACACCGAAAACATAGAACCCACAGCAATGGAAGAGGTAAAACAGGCAATACGAGCACAAAAGAACAATAAGGCTCCAAGTATTGAGCTATATAAATTAGCTGGCGATCACCTAGTAGGACAAATGCATATGCTCATAAACAAGATTTGGAATGATGAAAAGATCCCTAATGATTGGAAAACCAGGATTATATGCCCAATCTATAAAAAAGGGGATAAACTGAAATGCGAAAATTATGGCGGCATAACCCTCTTGTGCACGGCGTACAAAATTTTTAATTACATACTAAACAAACGACTCCAACTGAATAACTGAAAATATCGTCGGAGAATATCAAACCGGTTTCTGACAAGGAAGATCTACAACTGACCAACTATTCACAGTGAAACAAATTTTAAACAAATCGTGGAAATACGACATTGACGTCCACAATATATTCATAGATTTCAAACAAGTCTACGACTCAATTAATAGGAACAAGATATATCAAATATTGCAGAGCTTTAATATCCTTTTTTTATGGCAATCGGGCTAAGTGCCCACTAAATACACTGCAATTCTGGAAATTAAAAGAAGAATTACAATGGGAGAGGAACTAGGATTACTTTTCGCACCTAGGGGTCATTCAAGGTGACTCACAGACAGAAAGTGTAGACCACGGAAAGTATAGGTAAAAAGGTAAAATACTTGGTGATTAAACAGAGGTAACGAGCTTAACACCTACATAACTACACTAAAGTTTTAATTTACACATTTTAATAAACTTAAGAATAATTTTATATACCTTGTACATATTTAATGACATCAAATAAAGTAGATTGAAAGGGGGGTTTTAATATCCTTAATATCTTTAATTTAATATTAAAGAACCAGAAATCCAAAGAAGAATAGTAAAGGGAAACAAAGCTTATTTTTCACTCGATCATATGTTCCGCTCCAAAAACACATACCGGAGATCGAAAATCAGGGTCTACAAAACTATTATCAGACCAATAGTATGTTATGCATGCGAGACATGGGTGATGACAGAAGAGAAAAAAAGAAAACTGGAAGTCTTCGAAAGAAAAGTCCTAAGAAAGATATTTGGACCTATTAACGAAAACGGAATATGGAGATCCAGGTACAACCATGAAACACTCTACCAACTGTTCAAAGAGACACCGATCTCAGAATTCGTTAAACTTCAGAGACTTCGCTGGGCTGGTCATGTAGTAAGAATGGAGACAGAAAGATTGCCGAAAAGAGCCCTAGATAGTAAAATGCAGGGCGCAAGACCAAAAGGAAGGCCACGGAAAAGATGGGAGGATGAAGTGGCAGCGGACGCACAAACTTTGCTAGACGTGAGAACCTGGAGAAGATCGGCGCGTGACCGACAAGGGGGCATAGTTTGGAGGAGAACAAGGCCCGATTTGGGCTGTAGCGCCATTGGAGAGAGATAATCATATTCACTTTTAGTTCTTTCGTCTGGACGAACCCGCGTTCATTTTTTACTCTGTGTCTTCTTTAAAAAAGTGTTCAGTGTTCTCTAAAATCTCCCGATTACCACTTTTTGTTCGACCTTTTTCTTTCCAAATTGACTTTGTAGAACAAAAAAATTCTTATTGAAAGTGAAACTAAGTCCAATAAGTTAAATGGACTTAAACCAAAAATTAAGTACGCATTTACATTACTATTTCTTTCCCTGTATCATTGGAGTTGCAGCAATTGACAAAACTTATAATTACAATGCATCTGGCGAATTAATAAGTATCACGCAAATGGGAAAAGTATTTTAGTTCAATGTTAAATCTATAAAGAAATTTAACCAGGTGAACTAAATATGGGAACGAACCTGGAAAACTTTGGTTGTGGGTAATTTAAATGAAACTATCGTTTCTCATGCAAATCACAAAATTTTACCAAATGCGACAATTAGAAAATTGAAAATGAGTACAAACTGAAAAAATTATTTTATTACCTATCAATGTCTCGGCTTTATCATTTTATGTATAATATAATGTAAATTTCATAAAAATTTTCATATGTCACTTTATTGTAAATGAACGAGTCGGTTATACCTAATAAATGTTAAATTTTAAAGCCGGCTTCCTTTATGAAAGCCAAAATCAAATAAATAATTTTATTAATATTTGTAGACTATCATGATCGGTGTTTTGGAAGAATTACGTTATTTTCCGGATTTATCGCCCGTAGATTGGAATTATTTCTTGTAAGGTACCGCCTCTGCGGCTGCAGCAAATATTGTCAAAAGCGAAGCGACAGCTGTCATTAAATCAGTGAATCAAAAAAGTTATAAACGCTATAATAGTCACACCACCTCTAATGATATTTGCTAAAGATGCGGATGAAATAATTCTAGACCACTGCATATAAACCCGTGAAACAACGTATTACTAAAACAAATTAATTTATATAATAATTATCGCTTAATCGTATCGACATTTACTAAAATCCAAGAGCACATTAAAAATTTCAATGCAGTATTATAAAAGCAGAGGTGAGAAAAAGTTAAAAAACTTACCTTGTAAGTCTGGCTTGAAAACTATTTACATCACAGATACCAGAATTTTGTAGAGCAGGCTGACTACTAATGGCAGTTTTCCATCCGTTATCGAGGAATGACTTAGCTATAAAAAAATCTTCAGCTAAATAACAGCCAAATTTTTTCAAACCACCCTGGTCCTCCAAAACAGTCTTCCTCATTAGTGTTGACATGCCCGTGTGACAGTTGACCCCTAACAAATCTGCCCCTAAGTACATCCTTGATTGTGCGGTACCAAAATAGATCTACAAAACAATATGTGTCAGTTTGAGTCTTAGCAAAATCGTGCAAGGTACCTTCTCTAAGGTGGCAGCAAATCCAGGTCTAAAATCAGATGTGAAAGGCATCTGGTGTACAATGCCAGTTTTTTCAGTCAGATGTTCTACCATATCAAGTAAAGTATCTTCTTTCACTAAAATAACAAAGTTGCATACCGAAACGAATTCTAATCTAACAACAGATGGTCAGAACTTAATTTATAGTATTTTTTCTACTTTTTACTAAAGTCTGTTATTTATCAACAATCTAACAATCAATACTTAACTATTATATATTTAGGAAAATTTCCGTGTTTGAATTTGTATCAGCGCAAGTGTCTGACGATGGCTAGGATAGGCCGAAATGATCATAACACTTTAGTGATACCGATTCGAGCATGGGAAGTTTAACGAATTTGTCCTCCTAGGCCATATATTTGGCCAATTTAATACAACAAAGCGATAGCAGCTTTTTGCTAAAAGATTTATTCTTTACATTTCTTTACAACTTCTCAAGCCACACCAAATTCGTAAACAAAAATATTACAGGTGCACAATATCTTATGCTAATCTATTAAGATAAAATAAACTACTATGTATAAACTACCGACATCAGGAAGACAAAAAGACTGCATGTAATATGTAATTATGAGCGATATGTTCGTTGATAATGCTAACTTCGCGGACATTGTTTTACGCATGGTTGTCTACTATACTATTACAAAATGACCTCTACCTAACAGGTAAGAATGTATAAGAAGCAGTTTTTTGTACTTTTTAATAAATTGTATTTTATACGATAGTGTAGTGCAAGGTTGTTGTGTCTGGTTTTTCCAGGCATTTTATGATTTCATTGCAAAATAACCTATGATATTTATCATGGGATTTGATTTGTGGGAATTTTAATGTCTAAGCATCAACAAATCAAGTAATTGTTATGATAAATACAAAATTTTATTTACTTAATACAAATATATCGGTAATTTAATTAACTAGTAACGGCTATAAAAAATATAATGGCTTATATTTTATACTAGATAAATGTTTGTACAACAGTTATAGGATAAAGGTATTGTTCAAAAATTACTGTATTGTTTTTGCTATACTTCGTTTGATAATTATTGATAGAGCCGAATAATTATGACACAGTTTATAACCACAAACGTAATATTATAACCCAGTGATGAAGAATTTCAAAATTATTTAATACTTCTTTTCTTAAATGCTGCCGTAATTGTAATGAACCAAAAGTTTCTTAGAAGAAATTAAAATTTTCAATCTATGTAAAATGTCTCAATGTTAATAATTGTCAGTTAATATTTATATTTTTGTATGTTCCGTATTGTATGTATTGTATGCAGCGGTTCCCAACTTTTTTTAGCTTGAGGCACACAACTTAAAACTTGTTCAGCCACTGCACACTTAAGTAAATATGAGTATAATCATAATGCATTATATAAGAGTTTTAATTTTATAACATAGTTTTATTCAATAAAAAATACTTGGTAAAAGTTATTATCACGGTGAATTAAAAAAGTAAATACTAATAAAAAAGATGCTAAAATTTCGCGGCACACCTACAGGGACTTCAGGGAACACCAGTGTGCCGCGGCCCACTGGCTAGGAACCTCTGGTATAGACCTTTAACCATAAGAAATAAAATTGTTAGGCGGGTTTCCAAATCATGTATAACAGTACTTTAAATTTAAATTCTGACCATCCAGGCTACAGAATAGACTTACTTCTTATACCACTATCCGATATGAGAATTAAATCATAACTAGAGGCTTCATATGCTTGGTTCATGTTATTAATTTTTGGATTAACACCAACATTTGAGCCGCCAATGAAAACTTCAGCTTGAACATTGGGGTATTTTTTTAATAATGCATTAACTACTTCTATTGCTGGGTCTTTTGCATCTTCGACACAAAAAAGGATTTCATACTGTAAAAAATTATAACTAGAAGAAAATATTTCTTCAAATACACTATCAAGAGTTTACTATCTTGTAGAGTTAATGTTGGCCCTTATAATTTATAATTACATTAAAAAAATTACATTTCATGTACCTAATACAAAATATTTACAACAAAAAGCCTGCAATATAAATACTGCAGGGAAATTAACTTCCAGGTGAGGTAAAAAGCAAATATTTTGTGGATATAAAATTGACTGTGCAAAAGGAACAAGTCCATAGGTAATATAGAAGAAAAGTTTTAGATTATTTGAAACGATCTTTTTTGGAAATGACAACTGTTCAATACAAAATACAGGGTATGTTAATAATTAAAAATACTATCCAGATACCACCAATATAGAAGAAAAGTTTTAGATTATTTGGAATGATCTTTTTTGGAAATAACCACTGTCTATGAAAAATTCAGGGACTGTTATGAATAAAAAATACTACACAGATACTACTAATATAGAAGAAAAGCTTTAGATTGTTTGGAATGGTTTTTTCTTTAAATAACAACTGTTCAATACAAATTAAAGGGACTTTTATTAATAAAAAATACTATCCAGATACTACCAATATAAAAGAAATGTTTTAGATTATTTGGAATGATCTTTTTTGACAATGTAGACTGAAAAGTGAGTTAGTTAAATTATAGTGCTAATTTTATCTGAAACTTTTTTCTAAACCTATTGGAAATACATACAAATCAATATCAAGTTAGGATAATTTTTGTACACATTGTATAACATTTTAACTAAATTTTTATAATTTACCTATCTTATCTTTTTAGCAAGGGCACTTTTAAAGACAATACAAATTAGTGCTGATAATATTCCTAGGATATATACCTACATCAGTTATTATATTTATTGTATGTACATATATTTATACAAATTTTGGATATTTATTTTACCAAAAACTAGAAAAACAACTGATGTATAACAGATTTTTACCCACAAACAATTTCTGTCAGTAGATGACCACTTCTTATCCTAATCTTTTATTATTATGTCTTTACCTAATGTGTCTATTTTCAATGTCTGCAATAAGCATAAAAAGTGGGATAATTGATAAAGCTTTTCAACTTTCACACAGGATTGTTAAATTCTAAAATACTTAGATGGATGAATAATAAAAGGTCTTAAAAAGAAGGAATTTAAAAACTCAAAAATAAAGTTCATATTTTTTAGAATATAAGTACTATTAGTTTTTTATTACCTTTAGCAAGTATAAATATTTTTATTCTATGGTTTTTACTTTAAAATATACCTCAACACATAAAAAGCAATTGAACACAACTATGAATGGTTTATAGCCAAAAAATTAATAGATTAAACAAATGTCAGATTAAATCAATATCTACTTTTAAAACAATTATTTTACCTACTTTTTGTATATAATTGTAGTAAGTGTGATGTAGATAATTAAAGAACAAAACCATTGAAATATAGAAGAGGCCTATTGCTCAGAAGATATTTTATAAGTAAAATACATGTATATATTTTTTAGTTTAGGAAGATTTGAAAATAATAAATAAGTACCTACCATTGGATAATTCATGGTAAAAAAGGTCTCCAAGTTTGAGACCAAATGGGCATCAGTCCCCATTAAGGGCTTTAAAATTGAGACACCGGGGTAAGGTTCATCTGTAGATAAGGGTTTAACCTTTCTATGCAGTCTGTATTTACTAAAACACACAAAAGCACTCAATTTAATAAACCAATTTCACAAAAAACAACACTAATGCCCCTATTTGAGGTTATGTGTAAAGGTCCCTTACCCATAAAATATTGCTAACAAATGAATTATCCATAGTGCACACCAAAACACCAAAAAAAATATTGCGAATCCATATAAAGTGTAAATCATTGGGTCTTGTAACCTTAAAACTAAGGAACTCAGCATTCAACATCCCTATCTAAATACGTTCATGTCTAGTTACTGACTTTACTGACGCTGTACACCCTTCTTCCACAACTGTCACAGTATACTAAACAAGAGAGAAGGAGGGAAGATTTGTCGTAATTCTTTGAATTTCTGATTCCACTAAAGACATTGATTCAACTAACTTGTTACCATTTTATTACACAGAATCGTTGGCTCCTAACTTGGTCGACTATATTAACATAGTTCTCTGAAAATCAACTCGGTGCTGGAAAAAGTTAGCCGATTGCAGATGTCAACGTTGCCAAATCCTCCAATTGGGAAACAAGTTTCATTTACTACTGCTAGACGCACTGGGAAATTTTGTAATTTAAATTATTCTTATATTATTTAAATTATTCTTTTATTCTGTTTTATATATTATTAACAATAATCTCAAACAAAAAATCCAATTCTTATTTTATATTGTTAAAAGAAGAGATTTTATATTTAAAAATAAAAAAGCTTTAATATTTAATGTTTCTTAAATAAAGTTTTAAAATCTTTAACTGTATAATTTGTTTTCTATTTTTATCCAAAGCATTATAAGATATTGAAAACAAAATGATACATTTTTCTGGAAGTTTTAAATGAAAGTAATACCTATCAGTTTCTTTCTCAACCTAAACAGTTCCAAGGTTATTTTATCTGCGATATTTCCTTAATTATTTTTCGGTGAACCAACATATTACCATCATTCAAATATTCATACATTCAGAAACCATATGATAAACATTATAAAAAATAGTATATACATTCAGTAACCATAGAAAGAAAGCTAAAAACAACAAAGCGCCAGAACCAGAGAACATAAAAATGGAACTTCTGAAATATGGAGGTGCAAGGATTGTATGATTAATACGAATGTTATTCAATTAAATCGAAGCAGGAGAGGAGATTCCAGAGGAGGGGAATCTATCATACATATCCTTCATTTTCAAAAAATGCGACAACAGGTCGCCAAATAACTATAAAGGGATCAAAGTAATGCCTTCAATAGTAAGAATCTTCCACTCTGAGCTCAAGACCTACTACAAGATGAAAAACGTACATAGGAAATCTATGATATATAAAGGCCTCAGAGAAGGTGACTGGAAAAATAGAGTGCTATGGAGGATCAAAACGGCGAACTCATAACGAGAAAAAGCTATTATAAACTACCTAGTATAAATAAGAAATTGCGTTTAATACAGTAAATTTGATGCAAAACCTACGCAGGTGGTTTGGTCTGACAACTATAGAGCTTTCTGGACTATGTAAATATCTCATATATTTTTTTGAATAAGCATATTTTTTAAATTATCCTATTTATATTATTTAATATCCTATATCTAGTTAAAATTAAGTATACATAAAATTGTGTTTGGTAAAATATAGTCGGCATTGTATCTTCAGTTGTTTGTAAAGTATGAAAGGCTGGCAATAGCGATAACAGAGAGGTGACGCATAATGGGAGTCTAAAATAATATAATGGAAATACAAATTATATCAGAAATGACAAAAAATTATAAACTTTCTGTAAATTAAAACAATTTCGTTTCTGTTGGGATATGTAGAATGCCCTTGTTCAAAGTAATATTAACAATACTTAAATTTAAGAAATTACATGACTTACAAAAACAGGAAAATACAATTGTTTTGTAAATTCATTTACATGTATGAATAAAATGTAAAATATATTTCAACAAAATCGTCAGTTGAACACAATGAACTACTTTTCGACGAATATAAGGATTTTGTGTCTTAAACATCATTAAAAGCTTTATATTAGATTCAGACCCATAACGTAATAATTTTGCTGCAAAATACTTACTTTTTAAATTTGGCGGCAAGTTCTGAGATGACATAGAGAGATCAAACGGTTCGTAAAAGACGTCACTAATAGTATTCCAATGACGTATATTATACGTCATTGTAGTATTCATACAACGATATTAGTCTTAGTGTTAGAAAAAATTCCAATAGGTTGCGCCACAAGGTCACTTTATATGATTTATCATCATCAATGTAGGGCAAATATGCAAAAGTGCATATGCATACGCATTTGCATATTTTTGTATTTTCTTCAGGACAATTTCTACAGGATACAAGTGTATCTTTAATTGAAGCATTTAAAAATAATAATAATTAAGTCATTGATAAAAATGCTGATTTTATATTATTTGTATCTAATGTTGCAAATATTTTAAGTGGGGTGTTTGATGAAACACTACAGTCATGTAGAGGCTGAAGTATTAAACAAATTTAAATAAGCTTCGATAATTTAGGTGAATGTAGAATGGAGTTTTTCTATAATACAAATAAATGTTAGATAGGAGGTGTTACGTAATGCAATTTTTGACCCCTCATCCCCCAATATCTAACGCTCCGTAACGTTTTTCTGTACCCCCTCCTGCTACGTATGTTTCGTCGAAGTGCCCATTTTTACCTAAAAGCCTTCAGAATCCAGCTCTTGGTGCTATGTAACAATACTGACCAAATATAGCATTTAATCATTCTTTGAAGTGATTTAAAGGATATTTGTGAAATATCTTTAAGTTATAGTCGTGGAATTTTCGTAGAAGTACATTTAAGCCAAGAAGTGTCTCAAGGGTATGCAGCGCATTCCTAAATCCAAACTGGGTTTATTTTAGCTCTCCTATTCACAATGCAATGGGTATTATGTAACGTTTAGGTAGGGGGAGAGTAGTACAGAAAAACTTACGGTGCGTTACACTGGGGTGGGAGGGGGTCACAAATTGCGTTACGTACTAATACTTGAACGCCCTTTAAAATTTTCAATCAGTCCGTCAGATTAATTAGTCCATCAGACTAATTAATCTGTATTCGTCGCATCTTGCTGTTTCTTAGAAATTGCTACAAAAATAAACTTCAGCCATTCCTTAGCTATTTCACCGGTAGTATACACATCATTAAAAAGCTTAACTAGAACACTGATGTGGTCCTCTTAAGGTATCATTTTTAAGAGTTCAGCTGGGATGTTTTCTGATCAAGTTGGTTTCTTAGTTTTGTCTGATTTTGATATTCGTTCATCAATATGATAACTTTTCCTGCATTATCTACAAGAGTATTAGTAATTTTATTATTATAAAGTAAGTTTTAGTATTATACAGGCCAGCAACTTCAAGACCTTTCTTAGACTGTAACCTCAATATGTTATGTTTCTTTTCTAATTCTTCCAGTTGTCAAAATCTATTTGCCATCCACTTTTCTTAGCCGCTCGTATTTATTGTTTTAAATTCTCTTTGTTTTCTTCTGTCTGTATCTGCGTTGTCATTGTATTGCCTTCATTGTTACATAAAGCCTAGGTATTTCCTCCGTCATCTATTGAATCTATTAGTTTCAGTATTTCCTTCTATATCTTGGTCATATGTTCACGAAATAATTTCGTAACTCTACTGATGGAGTCACTAAATCTGTTCTCGATAAGAATGGAAGAAAGTGGCAGAGTATTTAAAAACAATTTAATTGGAGTTACTACTCCTCTGTGGGTTTGTCAGCCAAGCAGATTCTTTCAATATTTTAATCCGGAGAGCAGACAAAGAGGGTTTAAGAATTATTAAACCACTTGCATCAACTTCGTCTTTGTCCAGCCAATCGGCATCCATAGACGATATTTCACAGTAGCGCAATGCATAAAATTTGCTTGCTTTTGGGAGCAAGTCGCTGTGGCATGCACTATTGTGGGATGTGAAATAGATCATAATGGTTGCAAATATTCTGTTCTTAAGATATTGTAGTGAAGGACCAATAAAATCATAAGCACCTGCTTAAATCCTTTCAGAAAAGGCGACATACCAACAACAACCTCACAAGAAGTGATGAAAAGTTGCAAAATATAATGCACTGTAACGTTAAACAAGCCCCTCCTCCCCCAAATTACCTTACGTAATACTTTTTAGATCCCTAATTGACATAACTTTTTGTTAGAAAATTTTGAAAAACATCATCATATATTGTTTTTTAATTATTATATTAGTATTATAATGCTTAACATATATACAAAATTCATTAATCGTTTCAGAATTCGTCATTGTTATTTTCTACAATTTTCATACATTTTGGCTAACTGTAATTATTAATCCAATGTATATAGACATCAGCCAAAGCACCATAATTTCTGCAACACTAATTACAGATGCAAGCACTACAACACTAGAATAAAGCAGAACATGAGCTATTGGAAGAAGCAGAAAATGAAGAGAATGAAATAACAAAACTGCCAACTATAGAAGAGGTTGAAAGCAGAAAGCAGGTTAAACTGTAGAAAAATGACAAGGTCCCTGGCTGTGATGGAATACCTAACAGTAGAGAACTTAGAAAAAAGAGATAGTTTTATATATTTAGGAGTCAACATCATAAAAGATAACACTGACAATGCAGAGCTTAGCAGAAATATCCTAACCAATACGGCATACTCTGCTGTGAACCTGATATTTAAATCACGAGATGTACATCAAATAAGTAAAGATACAAGACCATAATCCGACCGATAGTGAGCTGTTGATGTGAAACTTGGGTGTTGACTCAAAAATCTGTAAACCACGTAGACATCTTACAAAAAAAGGTACTGAGACGAATACTAGGCCAGGTCTCTAAATCTCAGAACAACAGGTGGCGAATCAGATACAATGATCATTCAAGATTTACGTCTGAACCCCACAGCGTTACCAAAGCATCAGAATAGTTAATAAGTGAGGAATTTTGAAAATGACAACTATTTAAGAAAACAATACACTAGTCAATTGGATTTTTAAAATGAAGAAAATAATCACATTTTCTAAATTTCTTTTTTCACTTTTCATTAATGTGGAAAGTGAAATAAGTTTAATCCATAATATTAAAAAGATCACATCAAAAAATTTAATTTTAAATGCATTTTAAAACTCAACTAGGAGGCACTAAATAAATCGATAACTTTTATTATGTAATATTGCATCTAAATTAGGGAGAATTCAGTGTGGCATTGGAAAGGATAGAGAAAGAAGCCTGTGTGATAAAAAGGAAACAGAAAGTGGTATATAAAAGAAAAAAGAAGTATCGTGAAATTAA